TAATGGTAGCACAGTACTTCGTACCCCCGACACCCCTGGCTGAGCTTGGAGGACCCCAGGTGCAGTTCCTGAAGCACTTGACACTGTAGTCGGATACCCACCCCCACACATAAGGCCACTAGGCCCCTCTTGGATTTCAGGCTGTGGTCGTACTAATGGATGTCTTGTGCAACAGTTGTCAACCCTTGTGGCATACTATTCACCCCTTGGCCTTGATAAATACTGACTTGAGGTTTGTCTCCAATTGGATTCTGTGGTCTTTGTGCACCACTACCTTGTACATTCACAGGCCCCTGAGGTCGGGTTAACTTAGGGGTGGCATACCTCCGTGGTTGGTGAGGGTACACAGGCTGAACACCCACCCCTGGAGCCTGGGAAACAACGCTGTGGGGGATCCCTCCCTGTACACCATTATTCACACGTGCTTGTTGGAAGGAGGGGTCCTGCAGTGAAAGCTGGGTCGTCGGCTCCGAAAAGGACACTGCTCGGGGTCGGTTTGTTGAGGCAGTCGTCTGAGTGTTCTCCCCCTTGCATCTACTTCTCCCACCACCTCCCACAAGAGAGGCACCAGCCATCATCCAGCTGTCTGGTAGGACATCCTCTGGGGTCCTTTCATGCAGGGCTTCGCCTCTGTGTTCACCAACCATTCTGACATCTTCTCCAACCAATACCTCCCCCCTACCCACTTCGAGTCGGGTTTGGATCTCTTTCTCGCACTCCATGTCTCGTCTATGCTTATCCCACTGAGGCCCAGTACCAGCACCCCATAGCATTCCACCATCTTGTTACCAAGATCCAGGAGAACTTGTGCTCCACCGCCTTCACTACTACGGTTGCTCTCTGTCCTGAACAGGTGCCCCACGTCCCCCACTGACTGCTGTTCTATGTCCCAATCTGTGGCTTGTAGTGGTTGAGTTCTGTCCACAACAGACTGCTGTCTCTGCTGTGGACTCCACTGGTAATTTTCCTCTAACAGAATGCGCATCATGGATTCCAGACGTTGTAACCGCTCTCCAACGTTCTCCAAACCATTGTTCTCCGCACCATTGTTCCCCGCATCAACAGCTGTTTTGGCAGCCCTTAATTGTTCCCGGGTCACCGATAGTTGTGAGAACAGGTAAGTTTCCCGTGCTTCCCCCCGGCGCCGTTCCTCCTCCAGTGCTCAGTGGCGTTCCAGTTCCACTTGTCGCAACAGAGCTTCCCCTGCCGCCTTTTGTTGCTGTTCTTCTTCCTCCCAACGACGTTCCTACTCTGAGATTATCTGCCGATTTTCCCCGATGATTTCCTCGTTCGCTCGGACCGTCTGTCGCAGTCCTGCGATCTCCTCTGACGCCTTCGTCTCTATGTCGAATCCGCCGGCGAGTCTCTGCACTCGCCTCCGCCTGCCCAGCTCTGACTTCCGCGTCCTCCGCCGCACTTTTCCTCTCAGCTAACTGTTGCTCCAGCACCTCCATGCTGTTCGTTAGCTCGGCCACGTCGCTCTGCAGCTCCCGCTTCTCGGTCTAGTCGTTCACTCGCCCCCGGATCGTCTTCCCTTAGCTTACGGTTTTCCACCGTCACCCGTTCCACCTCCCGCTCGACGTTGTCGATCTTGATCCTGAGAGCTTCCATCTCCAGTCCGTGGCGCGTAGAGCACTCGCTCGAGCTTCAAATCCTGGACTGGCCCCCAATTGTAGCGTCCGAGGTCTTCGCTGAAGGTGGTCGTAGCACGCGCTCTCGCGCAACGGTCCTTACTGATAGTCACCATTGAATACTGTGATCGGGGAGAGAGCTCCCAACTGACCAGGACATACGACTTTTATACATAGTCTCACACAACTGCGCATGCACACAAAAGATGTTCTAGAATGTTCTGCCGTCACACATGTTGTGGGTCGATAACTCTTAAGCAAGTTAGCATAGGAATTTCAAAGAATGTACCCAGCACCTATGGTACTTTACCGCTGCTTCCAGTTGTCTGCGCTGAGTCTGGGATGCCATGTACAAGTGCCTAGCTCTGTTTACAGGACAGTCACACAAATTGAATTGTGGGTGGTTTTTTGTCATAGACACCTCGTTGCAGATGTCTATTGGCATTTGCAGGTGTACAAAAACAGCGATTCCAAAGTCATTTTCTGTGCAACCAGACCACTTCTGTGTGCAGGAAGAGTAGAAGGCGGGGCTGGTTCAGTAGTGGTTGTAAAAGGCGTTGCTTCCTGTGAACCGCACACTAGCAGCTGCAAGAAGTCTGTGGAAAGTTTCTGGAGCTCCGTGTCAGACATCATGTCCAGTATCTCGCTTGGAAAAATTGTCATTCTCCTGGTGCAACTCTAACAACTGAGTGCTGCGTTGCTATCCCAATTGTATTCTGTGGTCTAGACATGGAAGCTACTAAATTGCTACCCTAGAGGCCTGTGGGTAGCACCCTCTGTGTGCCCAGGATGCCATGTTCTACAGTCCCTCTGATTACAATGTCGCATAGACACATCACTTGTACGTATAATACTCGTGGAATAGTTCAGTTTCCTAACGTGGCATTCCAATGCTGTGTATGTTTGTTTGAGTGCATGCATCGTTAATTTATTTAATGTAGTCACCTAGTTGTGAGGCTCCACTGCTGGATATAGACCTGGAGTGGGATCTTCCTGACTTTGCCATAATTGGTATGGTTACAGCCTTATATTGCATATGAGAAAGGTTTTTCCACATAACTAGGGTCTCCTCGCTTCTCCTATGGTCGCAAGGCATTAGACAGTGCCCTCATCCAGCTCCATGGCTTTTACCGTACAAGTGCAGTTGTGTGGAGATGCCAGGACTGGGGAGACTGGAAAAGCATGGTAACCATCTACTCTCAAGAGAAGCAGTGGCCACAGGTTCTTTCCTTTTACTGTATCTGTGTGTGACTGAAATCTCCTCTGCTGTAGGCTCTAGAGTGTTCGTTAAGATCTCTAGCTGAGTGTGGACCACCTGAAAGTATTGACAAAGAGGTTATCCTCCATATATTTCGAACTTACCAAGGGTAAGGGAGCTTTCTTACTAACCTAGCTACTATAAATTAATTTTTCACAGGAACCTTCTGTCCGAGACTGTTAACCACCACATGTCTGACTTTGTGGAGAGGGGAGTGCAGATGTTTAGTGCAGTAAGTTTATAGACCTAGCCCAAGGCATCAATTGGCAGTGATTTCTGCTTAGGAGCAATATGTGCACGTTCTTTTGTTTATACTTTCAAATAAATGTACATAGACTTAGCTTGTAGGTTTTGTATGCACCAGCAGATGGTGGACTTTTGTACTCTGCAGTTGATAGGTCACTGGGAGAGTAAAAAACTGGACATGTCAGAATTGGAGGAAATTCTGGGAAAAGATCTCTCTATCATCTGTTTCCCTCTTAGTCTTATCATTCGAGAGTATGTTAATTTTTACTTGTTATGTTAACCCCTCAGTAGAATATTATACATGGGCAGTGGCTTATGGTTCTGTGTAGATGTTGTGTGTGTGACAGTCCACATTTTTCCACTGCATGCAGTAACACCACAAGGAGAATTTCTCAAAATGGGCATGTGCCTTGCTGTGCATGTGTAGTGAGGATTACACAACTTGGTTTGTTGAGGTTTGTTGATTTGTCTGTTGATGTGTTAACACATTATTCTGGAAGTACAGGCTACTGGGTGGCCTATAAACACAGCTTCTACGAGGGTCTGAAAATAAGAAGGCGATTTACGACTTTGAGAGATTTGGCGTGAAAATAAGTGAAAAGCCTATATTCATTACCAGTTTTAGCTTGTTCAGTGCAATTTGGATAGATGAAGTTACTTGGGATTTGTATCCAGTCCAGCGTTGCTCTAAACTATACACTCACTGATGCAGCTAGCCTTTTAGAGAGAGAAACTGACTCTGTAGGACGGTTATACCATGTGATGTAGCCTGGCCCATCAATTAGCAGTGCCTTTTGTGCATGTGTATTCTTCATATCGTTGCTAAGTGCATTTTTGTGCTGAGCTTTTCTTTATTGTGGTATATACCTCGACTAATCTTAACTTTGGCTGATTGAGTGTTTGAAACACAAATGGATTCTGCAATCAGAGCTATGAACTCTCCTTGCGGAAACAGTGTACACCTTTAGTCTTAGCTTACATTCAACATATGTTAGGCTCTATCTGAAGTGCTATCTACATGCGCATGTACACTGTTCTTTCAACAGCTTACCACACTTGTGCTAACCATTACACTGTGAATTGGGCATAGGCTCCGATACATCTGTAGGAAGGGCATTTCTTACCTAGTCTGTGTTTGTATGTATATTATTCTTCAAATGCCAATGTGTTTCTTTGTTTTTCACATGTGCTATAACAAACAACAAACCAGCAAAAAGAAGTTTTCTTTTGAATTTCACATGAAAGTAGCTAAGGAAGTTGTTGAGCAGATGATGAACGGGGCACCTAAACCTGAAGATCTCATAAATTCACAGCATGGGACATCGAAAGAGAAGCCAACCAAAGATAACTTTTCTTCAGAAGCTCTGTCATCAGATACGAGGTTGTGGACTCAAGTGATGCGCAACCTTGGCAAGGATGTCTACAAAAAGTCATCTGTTGTACTAGGTGGTTCATCTTTAAATGCCTTCAATAAGGACATGGGTTCCTCAGTACCAGTTGGAGATGTTCTTGCCTTCTCATGTGGACATGCCTTTCCTGAGGGTGATTTTGAGTCCAGAGTCCTGATTGAGTTCAAGGAACGAGTACAAAATTTTCCATTGCCGATTCCACAGACACTGCTGCAGTTGCAGAGTTGCTACAAGAAGTCAATTTCTTACCCCGTTGCTTGTCCCTACTGTGTGTTTCAGCACCTGAGACAACTACAGCTCCAGGAATGTCCTGACACACCTATTAAGCCATGGACTCTCTAGGTTACAGTGCTCTGCACACAAAGGTTTTCTCGTTTTGTCACTATGCTTGAACAGAAATGGTCCTTATAAATCAATTTAGTATCACCATGAGAGCAATTCATGGAGATATTGACATGTACAACGTAAAAACATATAGACCTGCGTATTATCGGTTCTTCGCAGTAGTCAACAATTGAAGGTCCAGTCATGGAGCGAATAGCTGCGTAGGGGCACTCTAGTGGGGCCTATCCCCTCAATCAAGAAATTCCTTCAGCGGACAGACTGGATTTCCTACGTAGGTGAACATTGTAAAGTAGTAGCTACCTCCTCTGTTGATAGACCTGAAAAGTTTTGTTGAAAGAATTTTGCTCTTTGGTTTGAATGAGAAGTCCAAACTCTCGCAACAAGGAACATGTACATGTAGCGTTCATGTGCACAGTTTATAATTGATGAGTCCAGCCATGTAACACTGTCAACAGAGCCGGTTTCTCGCCCCTACTGCATCATCGAATCAATCCAAGTAATGCTGGACTAGATACACATTATCTCGAGTATATTATATATAGCCATTGCTTTTTTGGTTCAAAGTTTATTGTAAAACCAGACAGAAACAAGCATTCAGAAAAGGACAGTGATTTCTAGGTAAGAGACAGAAGTGGCATAAATACGTTAAATTTGATCCCATAGAGAACAGATCGTCATCAACATTTATGGGCATGATGTACTACTGATGCAAGCTAATGTCACAGATGTGGTGTTGCCAAGACTCACTGAGAGCAACCTCTGAACAGCCCGGTTGCATGCCATGTCCCACAGTCATGGGCATCGCAGTAGTTGGTTGGTGTGTGTGTGTGTGTGCCTTATAATTTCCCTGGTGACAAATAATGTGCATGAAATTGTTGAATAAAAGACTACAACATTTTTGTTGCAAATCCGGGCAAAAACAGCTCAGTTGATTCTTACTGTTGAGTTTAAACAAGCATAAATTGATGTTTAACATATTAATGCCTAGTATTATACCCATATATAAATTCTTATGCTCGTGGCTGGCTAAGGGTTAATTTTTTATCTTACACAGAGATATGCATAGTAGTACATAAATTGAGTGGAGATAAATGAAAAATCCTACAAGTAACGGAAATTCCTGTGAATTTAAAAAGGCATAGAGGGATGGTATGGTACCAGGTATCCACTATGCACAGTGCTTTTCTGCGCCTACATATTACATAAAAAATGGGCGTAGCCCCTGCGTGGCAAAGTTCAACGAATACGTAATACTCAAAACGTGGCCACACCCATTTTTGAAACTGGTATATTGTATATACCGTAGAGGAGAGGCAGAAAGAACGCTACTGCGCATAATGGCGATGAACCGTTCGCTCCTATGGGGGGAGATCAGTGTCAAAATTACACAATGGTGCAGTCCAGTTGCACGTAAGAGTCAAGGTATTTCATTAAGCCTAGCCTCGTCCCCAGGCCCCACCCGCGAGGAGAGGGCCTGGTATCCACTGCTTGTGCATGCGCGTAATTTTCAACGTGGGTCTAGCGCAACTACGTCAAGACCAAATTAAATGACGTAGGAATAAGGATCCCTATTCCCTAACTCGTGAACAACACGTGGAGTATGCAAAATGGAGCTGGCTCCTGTGTGTGTCGCAGTCGATCCTGCTCAGCTTGTGGTCCATCACGAACGGCAAAACCTCGTAGCAGAGAGATTTGCCAAACCCGGTGGGCAGCCACACAAAGTCGGTAAATTGAATGTATAGCTTTTCTTTGCTCGGGCTTTGGTGGAGTTCCAAGCGGGCGTATTGAAAAGCGCGATCGAACTCGCCATTGTCGGCGGTGCCGCTGTATTTGGCCATTGCATGCTAGCTACTGGACTGACCCCACCCACTCTCCTCGGTGACGTTAGCGTCACACGAAAATATACGGAAAATACACGGTTTATCGACATTGCGATAAAATACCGCGCATGCGCAAGCAGTGGATGCCCTCTCCTCGAGGGTGGGGTCTGGGGACGAGGCTACCTTAGGTTTTCCTTTGTTGTAGATTCCAACCCCTACCAGCTGAGTACAGTTCTCAGCTGGTAGAGGGACCATATTGTGTTGTAGATCACTACGAGCTGAGTTGTCATGGTAGCTCAGTTGGTAGAGTGCTCACCTATACGGCAGAGTGTAATGGGTTTGAATTCCAGAGTGTCTTGGGTTCGTATCCACCCGGAGCAGCTCTTCTTTTCCCCTGAAAATAAAGAGCTGTCCTGGGTGTAGTTGATTTCTTTGCTTTGCATTGCTCGTTACCTTGTTGTCGACACATATGTCACAGAGTGTATAGATGGTCGTGTGGATGTAAAATACATATTAGCACACACTGGCTATGAGCTCTATAGTTACATCTGACATTTGTCATCTCCAACTGTCCGTGAAGGAAGAGAAAGCCAAGAAGATCAGTGGCTATGTGTATATTAACAGAACGAATGATCGAAGGTCTTATGTCATCAAAGTGACACATCGATGAAAACTGGAAATGTACTTGATTATCATCAAATTATACCAGATTACCAAACCTTTTCGCTGCTTTGAACAATGAAAAGCACTGAAGTGCAAACCCTCGGCGAACTGCGCATGCGCGGTATATTAGTATGCGTTTACTCGCGGTCTCCCGCTAGTATATAGCTCGCAGAGAGTCTGACACGGGCTAGCTGCAGTAGTAGATGGCATGCGAGAGTCGATACACGCCCTTCGTTGTGACTTCTTGTGCCTTCAAAATACACAGAGCAAGCAGACCCGGTCCTGTGCTAAATATAAGCGCATGCGCATTTTCCGCAGCGATAAAAATGGCCGACTACGCATTAGCCGTACAATGGTGGAAGCGCTCCAGCCTTGCAACGGAGCGTTTTCAGAGAAAACCGTTCGAAATTTCTGACCTTCATTGCCCGTTCAGTAAGTGTGAGACGAAAGAACACTCGACAAGTGAGATGAAGAGTAACAGACAGACTGACAGACAGACAGACCCAACTACTGTAACCCTCGCTGCGCATGCGCGCCGAGGGTTAATAAGGAACAATAATTCGAGAATGGCTCAGACCACGCAGTTGTTGCAAGCTATTCAGAGTTGTATGAGGAAGGTGAGGTTGAAATATCGACGGTGTATGGCCAGTTTCCCTGCTCAAACAGCTAAATTTAGTAGCAATTACATCCACATTTCAGGGGGTGTGGCTTCATTACGCACAACTATAAAAGCCCCACAATTCCTTGCAACCTCGGCCTTTGGATTAGCTCCTCATACTGCATGGTCTTACTCCTCACCTGTTGCATACCAGCAACCCCTTAGCTTATACTCCTCATCTTTCACCCTTACAGGGAGGGTGGGAGGGACCGTAGATATTTCAACCTCACCTTCCTCATACAACTCTGAATAGCTTGCAACCACTGCGTGGTCTGAGCCATTCTCGAATTGTATTTCGGAAGGCTCGGTCTCATACCAACGGTGTTGTTTGTAGCAAGCCTACTAGGCTTTCCCCATGAGTTTCCTTTGAGAGCTTCGCTCCTCCATTACTCAAGGATCAAGAGCTCCGCTCTCCCTTCTCGACGACACCACTCAGTGCCTAATATCAGTGGTAGAGAGCACCGCTCTCCCAAACGAGGGATCTTCTGTTGGTTTGTAATAAAACCTCTGAAAAACAGACTCGGAACTCCAGTCCGCAGCCTTCAGTATATCATTAGTCGTAATCCCCAAGTTTGCAGCTGCTGAGGACGATGCCGATCGTACCGAGTGGGCACTAAACACAGATGTATCAATTCCTGCCTCTTCCAGCATAGATTTAAGCCATCTAGTATGGTGCTAGACGTAACTGCCTTGTATGGCTTAATGAGAGCCAGAAATAACCTCAGTTCATCTCCCCTATATGGAGCTGTACGGTCCTCATAGGCCTTTAGAGTAACCACTGGACAGAGTCCAGGGTCATGTGGGAAGGAAGGGAAGAAAAACTCTGTTATTGCTTTCCCTTGTCTAGATTGCAAGGCGCTCCGACGTTCGTAGCCGTGGCGTTCTGCAGCCTCGGTCGTATTCCCCTCCGGGGTGACCGGGGCACTGTGGTTGCCTTCGCCACCGCTGCGCCTTGTCGAGGTCTCCGCCTCAGAAGCGCTGCTCGCACTCCGGCGAGCCTCGTTTTCCTTGAGGGTTTTCACCGGAAACGGCACCCTTTCTCTTTGGCAGGGAATTTGCCAAGAAGAGTAAAGCGATTGTGGAACAGGTGAAGGCAATGAGGTCCACCATCAGCAAGAAACAAGAACGGAAACCACCGTTTTTTTTCGGGGTGGCCCCCCCACCAATCGGGGGGGCTTCAACCCACGATTCGGAAGGGGCGGAGCCCAGACCTTCCGACACAGGGACAGGCCATACCCGGTGGGGAAAGGCCAACCCCAAGCACAGAGACGAACTCAGAATTAGTTCATGTATGTGCAAAAGATATTTGTCAAAGTATGCTGATATCTCAAATCAAGCGTGCAGACAGACCACCTGCTGCCAGCAGGAAGACTGAAGGGTCATATAAGCACCTGGAAGGTGATAACAAGCGACCCATGGGTGTAAAACACTGTAACAGGTTATCAGATAGATTTCCTGTGGGAACCCTTGCAAAGGGCACCACCTCACACTCCACAATACTCTGTGAGACTGTGGAACAGAGTCACTTAATAGTGGAGGAGGTACAGGAACTTCTAGGCAAAGGCGCCATAGTAGAAGTGCACAACCCTCGGGGAGGGTTTTACTCCAACCTGTTCCTTGTCCCGAAGAAGGATGGAGAGACAGAGACCAGTGATAAACCTGAAAGCTCTGAACAGTTTTGTTCGCACAGAGCATTTCAAGATGGAGGGAATCCATACCTTGAGGGACCTAGTCAATCCGGAGGATTGGTTGGCAAAAGTGGATCTGAAGGACGCATATTTTGCGATCCCAATCACAAATCCCACCACAAGTACTTGAGGTTCATGTACCGGGGAAAATATTATCAGTTCCAGTGCCTCCCATTCGGCCTGTCATCGGCTCCCTGGGTCTTTACCAAGACCCTGAAGCCAGTGCTAGCTCTCCTCCGGAAGATGGGGGTACGACTGATAGCATACATAGACGCCATCCTTGTCCTGGCGGAGTCCCAGGAACAAGCAAAGAGACATGCAGAGGCTGTAGTGTACCTCCTGCAATGTCTGGGTTTCAAGATAAACCGGAAAATATCTGTGCTAGAGCCAGCCCAAGTGATGGAATTCCTGGGCTTGACAGTAGACACAGTCCAAATGGAGTTGAAACTCCCAGTGGACAAGATAAAGAAGATCCGTGCGGAGTCACGGGCCATGATGAGGGAAGAGCAGGCCTCAGGAAGAGCCCTTGCTCGGCTGGTTGGGAAGATGAATGGCACATCACAAGTAATCCCACCAGCACCACTCTTTTATCGCCACTTGCAGATGGCCCTGGCGGCCACACTGAATCAACATTCCCAGTGCTACGAAGCACAGGTTCCCCTGACAACGGAGTGCAGGGAGGAACTGATGTGGTGGGACACCCACATGATAAATTGGAATGGGAAGTCCCTCCTCAAGAAGGAAGTGGACGTGACAATAGATTCAGCCGCCTCTCTGACAGGTTGGGGAGCAACCAGTCAGAACCAGAGGACCGGAGGTCCGTGGTCCCAGGCAGAAAGCAGAATGCACATAAACTGCCTGGAACTGCTAGCCGCAACACTAGCAGTCAAGACATTCCTGAAAAACAAATCCAGGATGTCAGCACTCCTCAGGTTGGACAATACCACGGCAGTGGCATACATCAACAACCTGGGAGGAACAGTCTCCAAGGAATTGGTGGACTTGGCAAAGAGCCTGTGGATGTGGTGCCTGGAAAGGAATATCCACATCATAGCCCAACACCTACCGGGTGTCCTGAACGTAATAGCCGATGCGGAGTCTCGGACTATGATAGATTGGTCAGACTGGCAGCTGAATCCTGTGATATTCAACAGGATCACACACACCTTTTCGGTCCCATAGAG